ACTAGGCTTTTTCGTTTCACTAATTTAAATCATGCATATAAATTTCACAAAGATCGGGTGATAACTTTTTGCGTTAGAGCGTTTACAAGGATCAATAAACTGAAACAAGGGCCATAACTCTAGACGTAATAAACGGAAATTGCTGAAATTCAATAGGCTTCTCCGTTTCACTAATCTAAATAATGCATATAAATTTCACAAAGATTGAATGTTAACTTTGGAGCGTTCACAAGGTTCAATAAAGTGAAACAAGGACCATAACTCTAGACGTAATAAACGGAAATTGCTGAAATTCAATAGGCTTCTTCGTTTTACTAATTTAAATAATGCATGTAAATTTCAGAAAGATCAAATGATAACTTTTGGCGTTAGATCGTTCACAAGAAATTGTGGACGATGGACGGACGGACGGATGGACGGACCGACGGCAATATACGTCCACATTTCAATGTGGGCGTATAAAAATGAAGAAATGGCAAGCAATTTTTGAGTCGGAGTATGACTTGGAACAGACAGTAACTACTGAATATAGATCAGAATAATTGTTGTCTGATCCTGAAAAATTATACACCAGTTACGCCCCTTTCCTACGATGACCGTGAACGTCCCATTTTGTCACAAAACTTCATGATTTTTAACCAAGATACTATATTTGTCTTGACGAACATTCAAGTAACAAAATATAGTACTAATGTTGATAATCAACGTTCATTTGAAGACAGTAGTCGGTCATTAGTGAAAAGACGAATTTGCGTGGAAAATACTGTTTTTACACATTTTCAGAATATTTCAGCACCTTAGTGGGCTGCGTTGCAGTCATTTTTTTTTCTTCTGACATTTACTTTGGGGAATACCCTCCACAACCACACCAAGCAATTCTATGCCAGACCTGCAAAGGAGCAGCTACAAACATTTTAAGATGGCGTAGTTTTAAACATATGTAAAATGACCACTTTAAGACCACTCACAGACACTTTCATACGAAACATTCATTCCCAACAAATGCCGGATTTTAAATCGACTGCTAGGCCTATCATACCTGACCAATATCAAAAATTTAGAGACACAACATTTCGGGTAGGAGAGTTTTGAAATTGGTCAGAATAGGTCAAATTTTGCCCGAAAACAACAATTTCCAGTTATACCGGAAGTTGTCCGTTCAAAATTTTTTCCCTTCATCCTGTGAATTCTGTCGTCTAGGAGTCCACATAGACCAAGTATGGTTGAAATTTGCTGCCCCCGCGTGTTGTCGTATTTTTCAATTTTTGCATGGTCCTCTCGCGGACGCATTCATAAAAGCCATTTATTTCAAAAATTTACTTCAGATGATACCAAAATGCACAAAACAACCATGTCGATGACCATTCATAATATTATTATAAAGACCTCAATGCATTTATGAAGATGTAGGCCCACCGTGGTCAGTTTAATACTTTTAAATATAATTTATTTGAACGAAAACACACTTTCTTTCATTTACATGGCATAATAAAAGAATATTTGTTAAATATTAACGATTTTAGACATTTTATATTTATTGTATTGAAAATTAGTTTTGTATTTTACAACACCATTCTTATGCCAATTGCAAAAACTTTATTTAAATAAATGTATGCAATATTGTTCTCAATGATGGCTGATCTACTCAAATAAGGCTTTCCTTCAGGAAAATCATTGATTTAATAATTGTAATAAACTTTGATGTATAGCACTTATCGCAGTATACATGTATTTCAATACAATTTTGGACTGCAATACAGAGCCCTACTAGTACTACAATGTGTACACTCTCTAATCAAATTATGACCATTAATAAATAATCGATCCGTCAGTAAACATCAAGATGATAGTGAGATAATAATACTAATTACCGGTATACCATGATAAACTAATAATACTAATTAATGTTGGATGATTTCTTTCAGTTTTTTCTATCAATCAAACAACAGTACATGTAGCTGGAATGAAGTGGAGGTGCCCATAATGATTGCCATTCATAATCATATTTTGTTACCTATTTTATAGTTTAAAATTTGTTTCATGAGTCTTTACTAAGCTATGATCTGGAAGAGTTGACATTATATAACCTGCATTCTGGATGATGTGAGAGATTAACCAATGAGAAACGGTCTGTTACGGCGAGATTTTGATGTGAGGTGCATGGAACTGTGAGTAACCCACTAGAAACATCAAGGCTGATTGGTTAATCAAATGTCTGATGTCATAGGGTCAAAAGATGCTTGTATGACCTCTGACATGAACTTCCACTACAAGTCAAACTGGATAGATCTTCATGTAGTAGAGGTCATAAAAAGTATAAAAATAACCCCAAAAAAAAACGAAATATAGATCTGTATTTTAATCAGATTGTGAAAATTTAAAATAGCAACAACAGAAAATCTTGCCTGAATCTTTATGACACACATCTGCAGCCGAGTTTCCACTCCAAAATTATACCAGCCAGACAGCCAATTTGAGACATATTATGTTTATAACTGATTAGAACGATGTTTTCTCAAAGAATATGACAATTTTTAGCATTATCCCGATTTTTAAAAGATATGCATGTATTACTGGTAAGTGTTTTTACACATAAAACTCTGAATTTAACTGTATTTATCGTGTTTAAAAATTAAATTCTTTCAAATTCAAATGTTATGATGTAAACTGACCGACATGTAGACATTACAGCTGGTCAAGACTGACAAATGTGACTAAAACCAGAGCCCAAGGACAGTAGTCAGATTGACATTAAAGATGCATTATAATGTAACAGCTTAATCTGACTATTGCATGTCTTTTTTCTGGCTTCAAATGTTATATTTAAATTATACTCACATGACAATTCCATAATCATGTCTTTAGACAATCGAATGGCTGATATATTAAGTGGATTAATCATTAAAATGGAAAATCAGGTCTTTGTTGATTATAGTAGCAATGGTACTTGACAATCAAAACTATGCTATTTCTTGTCAAAACTTCAAACAATCACAACTTCACTCAGAATAAAGTAATGACTAAAATTTCAATACATTTACACGCAGGCATCGTATTTCATTTTTCATTATCTATCTTTAATCTATGCAATCTGAACAGCTAGTTCTTTATCTAAATCTAACATCTATAATTGAAATGAAAACTAACAAGCCAACAGTGAGGCTGATGTCCCCCGCAGAAATCCCCAAATAAATAGATGGCACATATTAATTAATCGCACATCTATTTTTAACAAAATTATCGAGCAATCAAACTGATTATCAACTATACACTAAGTTTCATCACTCTCTATCAGATTGAATCAAAGTTATCTTGTCCCAAAGCATTGACCAAGGAAATTGCTTATCCCTGCTTAGCTTTAGCTCAATATGTTAATCATTGAACTCAGTCAAGACGAACATCTACATCAAGTTTAAACATTCTACCTCAATTAGAAGCAGAGTCGTTATGTTCGAAAGTCTTGACCAATCAAAATGCTTATTGCTCCTTAGCCTAAGCAGACAATTCTCATCATCGAACTTAGTCAAGGTATGGATGTAATGAAACTATACACCAAGTTTCATCACTCTCACTTAATTAGAACTAAAGTTATCGTGTCCCAAAGCATCAACCAATCAAATGGCTTATCTCTGCTTACCGTAAGCAGAAAATGCTCATCTTCGAACTCCATCAAGGCATTCACCTAATAAACACCTACACCAAGTTATTGTGTCCCAAAAAGTGTGACGACGGACAGACGGACGGACGGACAGACAGACAGACAGACGAACCCATTTTAATAGTCCCCTGCTTTTTTCGAAAGGCATGGGACAAAAATGAATCCAATATGAAAATCAATACTACACAAGGACGGATTTAAATAAGTGGGGTGACTCAAAGGGGATGTTTATATTAACATTAACTTTTAACAAACTTCACATCACATTACTGTACTAGAGTTGAAAGCAGATTAACCCAGACAGATTGACTGAACTTTATTTATTGTAAAACTTGGAAAACAAATTTCCAGTTATTTAAACATTACATGAGAGATTAGATAAAGTGCTGGCAGTTCTCATAGTTAATGTAAAGGGAATTTGCTGAAAATTTCAGTCAAATTGATCCAGTCTGAACAGAGAATTTAGCGACTGAATTTTAGGCCCAGTCTCGATCATCATTACTAAAGTTGGTACGATAAAAAACATAGTCTCAATTATCCATTATTTGATTTAATTATCAATGCGTGTTGAGCAGCAGATCGGATTCCAATCCAGTGAATATCGCAGGCTATGTCCCCCAAAAAGTGACATTCAAGTAAAGAAAAGGGGAATTTCGCAGACAGCATTAGAAAATATCTTAACCAACCATGATCGGACGTTGAAACATACTGAATGGCAATTTCATTGATTCCAGACCTTCGGGACTAAGTATTGTAATAATAATGCCTCGATATAAGCTATAATTCAACTTCATCAAGGGCATATGTGAGAATGATAAAAAAATTGCCTTTTGTATTCATGTAGTCCATTATTTGATTTAATTATCAATGCGTGTTGAGCAGCAGATCGGATTCCAATCCAGTGAATATCGCAGGCTAAGTCCCCCAAAAAGTGACATTCAAGTAAAGAAAAGGGGAATTTCGCAGACAGCATTAGAAAATATCTTAACCAACCATGATCGACCGTTGAAACATATTCAACTGAATGGCAATTTCATTGATTACAGACCTTCGGGACTAAGTATTGTAATAATAATGCATCGATATAAGCTATAATTCAACTTCATCAAGGGCATATGTGAGAATGATGAAAAAATTGCCTTTTGTATTCATGTAGTCACAGCTCACAGATAGATTACCTCCATCGCTTCGAGAGAGAAGAGTCAGAGTTTCAATCGGATAAATATTAAAACAAGCAGTGATTGAGTGAAGTTTATTTAGGAATAAAGGTAGCCTGATTATTTACAAAATTAGACAGGATCTAATAATTATTTTTAAAAAAAGCGTTTTAATTCACAGCAGTTAAACTGAAAAGGAAATGAGTACTACTAGTACTACATTAAAAAAATACAAAAACTGTAGTCTTAAAATTAAAAGAAACGGATTTATAAACTGTTGTCTCCCCGAGTCTGACACAGCGGAGTCAGTGCTGCGAGTCGAACGACAAGAGTGTGTTTATCGGTAACTAAACAAGGTAAGTATAGAACATTATACAAGGAATATAGAAAATAATTACTCAGTACTTACATGTACTTCTAATCAATACTTTGGTTACATGACTGGGTCGTTAAAAAGCTATTGCAAGTTGCCTAAACTTGAGAAACAGCGTCAAAATCGCCAAAGTATCTCTTCCCATCTCGAGACTGTCGCCATCTTTTTGACCAACCAAAGCGAGGCAGGGAGTTATTCTTCCTTTCAGGATTCAGGAATTTTGAGACTCACAGAACAGAGCGCGGTATATTTGATCGCGTCTTTTGTCTAATAAAGACACCTTTCATTCACCATATTATACTATCTGATGATTTTTTAACCTTTTTTTTTCACATCACGGTCATTCTTCTGTTCGTAGTTTTATTTTTAGAAATGGTCACTACAGACACAGTAGTCTTTACTTTAGAAGGCTAGCCAACTTGTAACTTCCGTCTTGACCCCAGCCAAAGTGGATGTTTTTTTGGTGGCAAGTTTTGATTACAAAAAAGTTACAGACCCGTTTAACTCCATTTCACCCCAATAATATTCTGAAACCAAATGCGACACATGGAATTTCGGCACGTTATTTTGCCGACTATAAAAGTATATGGTTTCCTTAAAAATAATATTTTTTGTCAATTTAATTAGAAAGTCCTATAGGCCTAGTATTTAGTATAGAATACAAGTGTAGTTTTCTTTTAGAATTCTATATAGAAAGTTCTAGAGATTTTTGGAGAGGACTGTGTCCCATTTTCTATTCTTATAGTATAGGATGAAATTCTATAGTAGTAGGCTTTGCTACAGAATTTTGGGGGCCCGTAGGGCATATCCAATATATAGTTTTTCCTACTGTTGTATAGGAATTGGGTCAAATACAGTTTTCTGTAGGAATGGGTTACTACCGGTACCGTATAGAATTCTATAGGTTTTTTATTAATTATTTGGGAAAAAATATAAATTTGGCCCATGTTTCTCTAAATTTATAAGCTTATTTTTCTCTCTGTAGATTAATTTAATTTCTGTTGATGATTCACCAGTTGGAACTATGACAAGTTTTGGTATAGATGACATATATATAGGGAAAAGACTATAGTGAAATGAAGTTATTTAAACAGGCATTATGTATAAGAGCTAAATCTGCCTATTGCAGGTCTTTCTTTGGGCCTTAAATGTTATATCTCAACAAGCCAACAGTGAGGCTTTAGCTCGAAATGTTAATCACTGAACTCAGTCAAGACATTCACCTAATGAACATCTACATCAAGTTTAAACATTCTACCTCAATCAAATGCAGTTGTTATAATATGTTCCAAAGTCTTGACCAATCAAATTGCTTATCTCTCCTTATCCCTAAGCAGAAAATTCTCATCATCGAACTTAGTCAAGGTAACAATATAATGAATCTATACTCGGAGTTTCATCACTCTCACTTAATTAAAACTAAAGTTATCGTGCCCCAAAGCATCAACCAATCAGATTGCTTATCTCTGCTTACCATAAGCAGACAATGTTTATCATCAAACTCCATCAAGGCATTCACCTAATGAACGCCTACACCAAGTTTGAACATTCTACCGCAATTAGAAGGAGAGTTATTGTGTTCCAAAATATCGACCAATCTAATTGCTTATCGCTCTGCTTACCCAGAGCAGAAAATGCTCATTATCGAACTTAGTCAAGTTATTGATGAGATAAAACTATACACAAAGTGTCCTCACTCTCACTTAATTAGAAAAGCTAGATCTTGATCTTAATCTTACATAATGCCCATTTCAATAACAAAATTACATAAATCTATCTAATTTAATATTATTGTAGAGAAAGTAATAAAATATACTTATTTTTTTGTCTTTAATCAAGTACTGTGAAAAGAATGCACAGTTGTCTACCACTCGCTTCAGTTTTAGTTGTTAAACACTGAATTTAAGGATTTAAAATTCTGCCAATGACCAAACAAATTTCTAAAGAGTAAATTGGCTGTTAATTAATTATATCTTCAACAAATTATATAATTTGAGTACAGAATCTGCTATAGATTTACTGGAATTTATTGGAGTGTGAGGTTGTGGATTTCTTAGAATGACAACATGTATCACTATTTCATTCATATTATATATAACATAGAACATTGAAAAAACATTATTTTAAGACTTCATTTTTTATTCCTGGTAAGCTTATTAATTTATAGTTTGTCATTTGGTATCACAATAAATTAAGGAAAACCAGTATACATGTAGAACATCCTGACCACAGCATCCAGAAAAGTTCTGCTGGAAACTATTTCATTTTTACAGAATCGACACATATAGAAGTGCATCACTAAATTCTATAGTAAACTATGATATTAGAAGATCTCCAAATTATGAAATCTGTAGTATAGAACATTGTTCCTATATTATTTTGTAGGAAACTAAAGTACCAGGTATTTCTTAAAATGGTTAAAATCTACAGAAAACTGTAGAATGCTTATCTGCTCAAAATCATATGTTTCATAGATAGTCACCCCATTCATGTTGGAATTGATCACAAAAGCCCTTTGGGTGTTATGTTTAACACTACCATGGATGGATATGTCCAAACAAGTTGCAGCGGTATCAAAGGCATGTAACTTCCACAGATTCAAATACAGATTCAACTAAACTGTTAGTGAACTCTTTAATCACATCTAGATTGGACTATTATAATTCATTACTTTACGGACTTCCAGCTTCTTCTCCTCGCTCACTACAAATGATACAAAACACTGCTGCATGTCTGATCACCAAAACAAGACCACGCAACCACATTACACCTGTGCTCAAATCCCTCCACCAGCTCCCCATAAACAGACATATTCAATATAAGATCTTATACAAATCAAAAGTGGAGAAAGACAACTCGATCAACATCAAAACACGACCTTATTGTTCCAAAAACTTTGAAAAGTGTCATGTGGTGATAGGGCATTTTCAGTGGCAGCACCCATCCAATGGAATAAACTCCCAGCAACATTAAAGGAAGCCAGAACATTAGAGTCCTTTAAATTATCCTTGAAGACTTACTTATTTAACTGTGAATACCAAATGTGACAGTGCAGCTCAGCGCCATCAAGTAGAACAGTTCTAGATGAGAGGCGTTATACAAATTCATTATTATTATTATATGTTTCTCAGGAAAATGTTTCTATGCTTTTCTGTTCATTCATTTTGTGTGCTCTTAAAGTTGATCAAAAATTTTGTTCAGACCTCCAGTCCTTCTGCTTTCATTTCTTTGATGCAATAATACATTTCTGTGTTTTCCATTAATAATGCAATTGAGGATGAGAGTGGCATTTTTGCCTGTACACAAAATTAAAATACTAAAATTGTGTTGGAATTTTTTTTTATAAAAGAGATTTCACCATATGAGCCAAGGGGGGCAACTCCAATATGATTAATCCGAACAGTATTGTTAAGGCAACAGCACAACAATTACACTCAACAAATTTTAATATCAATTGAAAAGAATATTACGCTAAATAAAAACATTTTATTGAGAGATATTTTATACATATATAAATACAGAATATCAGGATTTTAATGGAAGGTTATAAATGTACCGGTATATAGCTAAATTAAATATTGAAACATTTTTACCCACATTTTTCCATAATTATTTAAGAGTGATTTCAGATTCTCACCACAGATGCAACCTAACCCATCAATGACCCTTGTATCCTAACACAGGAATATCAATGGTAGACCTTTCCTATTTCATTTTGCTTAAGATACATGCACCTCCAAACCTCAAACATAGCAGACCTGTCATTAAAATTAATCTTTATGTTGTTCTATTAATCTTTTACAGGGAAACTAACACATGTGTTGCTCTGTGCTTATGGGGACTTTGAGGGTGTTCTGACAGTTTAATAAAAGAATTTTTTATTATATAAAGACCAAAGAATGATTACAATGGACATGGAGTATATTCATTTTAACCAAATATCATGTAATTAATCTTCTAAAATGGTTGTTGTTTTTGGTGAATACTTAAAAGGGTAACACAGATTTACATACTTCTATTCATACATATCGATGTATGAGTAAATTACGCAATACCAACGGTATAGATATCTCCATTATATTGTCACTCTTGGCATGACAAAGAAAGGTATCTTAGTTATACTGACGGTTTTTGAATTTCACTTCTTGACAGATACCACAAAGTTTGTATATAATTTTCATAAAAAGGGTTAACACAAAACAAATAATATTTTAGCTGACTATATCCAGCATGTATTTGCTTAGCATAAGGCAAATATGATACACCTTGAATCACAAAATCATGCACAATACACCACTTGTCTTGGTAAATATGGTAGTCCAACTGACAAACTTTTTCGATGAGAATATTAAAGTAAACAATGTATGATGAAGTCTTCAAGGTTTGTTGGGATAATAAATTCTCTATATTGGATGTGTATTAATGAATCAATTGTACATATCTTTAAAAAAAGCAAATCATACATTCAAATTGAACTGGCTTTGGTACTTAATATAAGCAAAAACAGTTCTTTATCCTCCCATTTTGATCTTTTTCATTTCACTGTTCTTTTTCAACATTTTTTTTTTTCATAATTTAAAACTTCAATTTAATCCTCATCTGAGTCATCCAGGCGCATTCTTCTTCTGTCAAACTGAAAATACAAACACAATTAACTAAAATAATTCACCATAAATTTATAAAACCAGTTAAAACATATATTATGCAAGAGCTAAATCTGCCTATTGTAGGTCTTTCTTTGAGCCTGAAATGTTATATAAACTATTAATTAGACATTTATTCACATGAAAAGGCCTAAATGAACATTCAATGCCATCTTATGTGTTGGATTTTCACTGGATTTGAAGCCGATAACCGAGATTCAAGACTATGTTTTTTATCGTACCAACATTAGTAATGATGATCGAGGCTATGCCTAAAATTCAAATGCTAATATCTCGGTTCAGAGTGGAGCAATTTTACTGAAATTTTCAGCATATTTCCTTTACAATATATAGTTTTTAAATATTATATGAGCTCTTTATTAAATCTTCCATAATGCCCCTTTAACAATATTACAACATGACAGAATCTTGCATAGACCTCTCTAAAGTGTCTTAATCCTCTACTTATTGGGGATGTGTCTTAACACATACAAAATATGCAGGGGGTAGAAATGTTTGTATAATTTCTGTATAATCAAATGTGAAAATATTTTCAGTTGTCTCGATCATTTATGTCAATTTTTACATTTCAGGATTTAATAAAAAAAAACACCTGAAAAATTTAAAAGTGTTATTATTATATGAGAACAAATATCATTAACAATTTAACACGATCTCTTGATATGAACAACACAAAATATAATATCATCAGAGTAACTATCACGAATTAAAAATAATAGCTTTGTCAAGTGTGGAAACATTCACGACGACTTTTACAAAATATAACTGTAACGGAGTAACTATCACCAATTGAAAAAATTGTTTTATTTATTATTTATCAGAAGTAAATATACACAATACCCAGTCCCCTCAAGAATTTAGTGCTAAAGGAAGAGGGAAATTAAAGTCTCTAACTCAATATCATCAAAAATCTTCAACATTGAAAACGCGAATAATTTGTCAATTCAAATCAACATTGGCTTTGTGATCTTACAGGGAAAAGATGGGGTTATGATATCCAATATTCAAGACAAAATAAACATTTTACCATTGGTACACGAATCATGTACCATAATGCGTTTCAGCGCCTTTTGGAACAGGGGACTCAAAGAACAGGGCTAGACATATTCCACAAGTCATGTCAAATGGTGACGCTATATTCTTATCTGGAGAGCATGCACAATAAATATCATCGGTGTAGACTGGAATAACCAGACGCTAAATACTGCTATTAATTGAGACTTCTGGCGTATTTCGCCGAACATAACTGATTAGAAATTACAGTAAAAACAGAAACGGTTGAATGTAAATCAGTTTATATACATTCACATTACATTATTATATGCATTGTGACCCATTTGTGTCAATTTTTAGGTCCCAAATATTAACGATTTAGCTCCTTTAAGTTCAGCTAATCCGCTGATTGAACATTATTGTGTTTCTTGTCTACATTACTGCTTGTCTTTGTATCATGGGTTCCATGTCAGCTATATACACCAGTCATGACTGAGGCCTATGGAAAATGACCGAAACTAGATATGACCACTTTGCACAACGGAAAAAAAGCATATTTTTCAAAACCCAATTTTCAAACATGGCTACGATCGACATTTGCCATGTAACTATAAAATTCTACATACAGGACAGAATATTGCACACATATAGAAGCCACACAATCTCGTGATTGATGTTATAGAGTTGTACACATAGCTGTCAACAGAGGATTATACTGGATGTTATGTTTGTAATTAATGATGACTGTCTGGTAGTAGAACAATAAAAGTTACTTGGTAGGTGGGAATCCTATCAATGACGAGAAGTGGTCCATTGTTAGTCATTCTCTATTCGAGCACCCATGTATTGCCGACATGTCATAAGAATTTTCTACAACAAAGTTGCTATACCTCACTTACAGTCACAGACAGTGTAAACATGATTATTCTGATCATCGAAAAAAAGGTGATCAGATATGAAGTATTGCTTTTCGAATCAAACCAACTGTTGTATTAAATAAAAACAGCATAGAAAACGTTTAAATCCTCAACAATTTATCGGGAGAAAAATGCATTAGAAAACGTATACATCAGCATTATTGTCTTGTAGGAATTGTAAAAATACAAGCTGGAGATTAGTAAATCTGTTCACCGAAAAATTAAGAAAATTATGTATTCCAGTGCTATTTTATAGAAATATTGATAATCCACATGTCATGTATATGTTTACTCTTATTATGCACGACCAACCATTCTAGGGGGTGCTAGTTTTGCTAACTGTGAAGTTAGTCTGTCATTCGAATTAGTTATTCAATATTTGAATTTATGTCACAATTCTGCAGTCCGTAATACCGTAAGAGATGGTCTAAAACCGATAAATGTGAGAAACATGCAGTGGATAATTATACATTTATCTTCATTTCGAACACATATGATCATGGTCAGTGTGTTTTCTATAGAGCATGTGGTAATATGTGTGAGCTACTGGACTGATTTTTCTTCGGCCAATCAAGCTCTTTATCTGTCTTTCACCAAGAAAAAAATTTCGATAATATAAGCTATTTAAATAGCCAAAAGGGAATATTTCATTTATAAATAATTATTGTAAGCTCTACTTATTTCTTACACCATGCTGACAAAACGGTATAGACACATGAATTCATGAAACCCTACAATAAATAAAAAAACCTCATGAAATATGAATTTAATTTGCAGATTTTTTTGCGTGCGTTATCAAAAATGACGGACAATGAAACTTTTCAAGTGGAAGCCTTGCTTTGTATTAATACACGCAGATGATGTATATTTACCTTAACAGTGGTTTTATTCTGTGTTTGTTCACTAACACGGGCTAAAAGTCCTATTAACTGATCTTCACCTAACTAAAAATAAATTTTTTTTTTATTAATATTTAATATAAAAGTAATATTTTTTAGTAGAACACTCATGTATGCTTATACATACATGTATACTGCTCGCATGTGGAAGGGAGATTGGTGAGAGCTAGTGCATTTATCGTGATCATTATGGAGTTATATCTAAGTGCTTTACAATATAGACTTAATACAGTTTTTTTTAAAAACAGAAATGTCTTTAGGTTAGATTTGCAGGAATTAAATGATACACTTTGCTTGAAGACTTTCGGTAGGTTGCTCCAGAGTCTTAGTTCATGGACATTAATAGCACACTGACTGTCCATAGTGTCTGTTGTAGCTTTGTACAGAGAGAATTGTAGTATCTATTAAATTGTGGTATCTTGGACTACAAAAGTAAAACATTACTCCATAATAAATATTCAAAAGGACAGACTAAAAATGAGCTTATTATCCACCTGTATGGCAGTAAAGAATATTTGAATAATTACGACATTTACCTTATTTTGAATTTGGCCTGTTCTAGCCATTTGAACTAACATACTTTCTACCATTTTAGCTTTTTCAGGTTTTGCTACAGCTATTGTATTTACTAAAAAAAGAAAATAATTGTCAATACTTCCTTGATACATTTAAAATACTGTGTTTGGAGAATAACACAAATAGAATATTTGTTTCTTGTAATGTATAGTTTTTCAAACTAGATGATACATCCTACTTTTCAGCACTGACTGGGCTGATGAAGACGGGCATGCTATGCAGTGTGCTATGAGGGAAATTTTTGCCCAGACAGTGGCACTACAGCCTACTCTTATATGAAATTCCAACCATCAATGGTTCTTTTATGTGCACACCAATGTGTACACGGAACCTCGGTTTTTCGACCGATCCTAACAATTAGAGACAAATGTCCTTGTCCGGCCTCCAGGCCTGCAGCAGTGACAAACTGACACGGGGGAAACAACATTGGATAATCCAGAGGAACTTTCTCGGCCAACAACGGGAGCAAGCGCGAGACCTCCAGGCTAATGAGCCAGCGTCTTACTACTGAGCTACCACACCTTCCTCTTGACATACAAATGTAGGCTAAAATGAAGCAGTGAATTGAGTTTGTCTCATATGTTATTTGAATTAGTACTGGGACAATCTTTATATGATTCAAGTTTCTTTTAATAATTTTTTTTTCATTTATGGCTTACTATATGTTGATACTGTCTTGATCTCCAGATCATTTTTTTTCCAAATTTCAGCCCACAAAAAAAAATCAACATATCAAAAGCAATGATAACTAGGCTGAAAGTTTCATTCTAAGCAACAATGACCCACGGTGGTTAAAAATGTATTTTATGATGAGAAATGCATTGAATTTTAGATATAAAAGTATAAATTTATAATGCATTTCAATGGAATCTAAATCATGATCATACTGTAGGGTTTTGGTTTTCCACAGAATAGTGCCAATCTAAGACATATATTTGATATTTGAAAAAAGAAATTCAGTTTACATCTAGTACGAGCCGATTGATCTAAAACTTGACTTAGGATGCTGTTTTTCATATCGGTCTGTTGTCTCTGTCTTTCTTGCTGCTCTTCAGCCGATGGACCTCCACCACCAGCCTGAAAAAAAATAATGGTTGAATGAGCTTAAAATACTTTATACGTGAACAATGAACACATGGCACAATTCCAAACCATTACATTGGTGCATGATTGTCGTATGTCTAATTGTCACCTTCATGTTAATGAAGTAGAGCAAATAGGGCAAAAACAAAAGAAAGCTTGAATGCAACAGAGACAACCAACAGCAATTTCCAATGTCAAATCTATATTGTCTTACATTTGCAATATTGCTCATCTTGAAGTACACCACGTCAAAACATAGTGACTCATCATAATTAAGCCATACTATACTTTTGTCCATTATATGCCAATATTTATGCATTGTGTTACCAGTAATCAAATTCAACCAAGAACTTTGACAAATAATTGTCAAAATAATGGGGTTTAACTGTGACTGGTAAGAACATGACTGCACAAACTACCTTGTGCTGAATTACTGCAGTTGCTATACGGATGTGTTATGATGTGCTTGTAGATTAGGTACCTCATCTCTCGACCTTGTATGTCTCCAAATGAGTGTGGATACTATATAGTTCTCTAAATAACAGCAGTGCATATGCAAACATGTACATCGCAACTGGTATGAATGAAATGTTGAAAGTCTGCGAAAAACAGTGCTTGATTAACTATAACCGATAAGTTTTGCAGTTATAATTTGTGTGGCTACACTGTGGGCTGGAAATATAGCCATTATCTTATTTTAAAGACGTTACACAGGCATTTTTATGATTAATCATAAATGAAATGAAATGAATTGCGGTTTATAACGTCCTACTGTTCTGCTCCTATACTGGGCTAATGAAGACGCGCCTACGCCATACAGTGTGCTATGAGAGAAATTTTGCCCGGGCAGCGGCACTACGGCCTGCTCTTATATCGAATTCCAACTGCCAAGGGATCTTTTACGTGCATGCCAATGTGTACACAGGACCTCGGTTATCGACCCATCTGAACAACTAGAAAGCTGTCCTTGTCAGCCCCTCCCGTCCTGCATCACAACAAAATGAATTTGAAAATTGAATGTAAAACTAATAAGACCAAATCGTATTCGTAACTAAACAAACCTAACCTATCACCACATGGTAAACATGGACTGGTGTACTTTTCTAACATGTTAAATTCGTTGCTCTCGTGCCTGGTTTAAATTTGCATGGCTAGGCCTAGTTACTTTACTAAAGTAACTAGGCTAGGCCTAAATAAAATATTCATTCAATCATTCATTCATTATTCATTCAATCATTGTGAGTGTGATGCACTGACCGACTCGTGCAGAGTCAACAACTCAAAAATGTGGAACATAAATTCAACAGCAGATTCAATTTATGAATAAACACATGTAAAACTAAATTAATATCTATAGATTTACCCCATACTGTTGCTGTAATTCTGCCATGCGGCGTGCTTTAATAGCTTCCAATTCGTCGTCCATGTTGTTTGATGATTGTTTGCAGTATGGTAATATAAAAATTCTAGAATACCAACTTAGATGTGAGGTAACGAAATCGAAGTTTTTAGCCTTTGAAATATATATTACGTCAAAAATTTTCGAAACTAGTAAAACTGTAAAACTTACTATATATTATACTAATTATAATAAATAATAAAAATTACAAAACATAACTTTTTTAAACATTATTTTTTATCCATTCCATTTAAAACATTTTCTTTGGAAGGAATTTTGCGTTCACTTCAGAAAGTAAACAAATATGGCTGCCTGTGGAGACCATGTGAATGTCTTGTGCAATTTTAAAGACAATTTACAGCTTGTATTGGAGCAAATACGCGGTATTTTAATAGAATTTATATTTCTAACGATGATTTATTAAGTTCAATTAAAATGTCAAACTCACATTTAGAAAATTCTCAGTAGAAACAACTGTCAATGACGCTCGCCCGGTACGTTCAGGAACCGCCTTGCTCAGTTACTGAATCCTTGTCGAAAAAGACCCCCCCCCCCCCAGTCAATTATTTTACTGGGCAACCTTTTATTGCTAAACGGTCGGGTGTCAGTCTCTGTGAACGCCTGAACAATGTAAATAAACATTTTAGTAAGAAAATAAGACCGACAAGGATTCAATGGGACAGTTCTTGAACGTACAGGGCGAGTGTATAATGAGAAATATGTTCAGAGCTGAACTACTGAATAGCCTATTATATAATATTGTCATTGATAATGTGAATTTTACTCTATTGTACTTTTGATTACATGTTAGCAACTGTGCAGACACCAAGGTAGATTCAATGTTATCCACTGCCTTGAGAATCAAATGACATCAATTTTTTATCAGGTCTAACTCAAGGAATGCACCCTATTGCAGACACTATTTTTGAGCCATACTTGACTAGTCAATCAAGCATGTTTAATTTAGAAAAAAGAATGTTGTTACTTGTTAATTAACATATGCTTTTCTCCGTAGTCATTGACTGTCTCTAGAAATGGTACTGTACCCCTACTCGTTTCCATTCCAATCTACCAGTTATAGCTAATAGATCACACTGGCATCTTTTGAATAAAAGCATTTTTCTTTATTCCAATAACAGATAATTGTTATTTATGTGTACATAATTTTCTAAAGAGTAAATCAACTTTATGGAAATAGTTTTAATAGTCATCAGCTACATTCCTATATCTACTCAGGCTTCTACTACTTGTGCTTGATCATGCCAATAATTTCTTTCAAATTTTATTTTTTACATTGCAGATGGAGAGTGTAAGAGAGATGAAAAACATGTTTTCAATGAATCAGAATACTGGGAAAATGTTGGTGAGAATATTACTGCAAGAATTGTTTTTTTGATTAAAATCACTCCAAAAGAGCTACCTATATTAAACAAACGTGTTTTATGATTAAAAGTAGGCCTACTTCACAAGATTAAGATATAAGTTGGTGACTGTTAATATGTGGTAGATCCACAAGACTCTTTACTGTATTTAACAAAATGGTGATCCCTGCCTTACGGTAAATCCATATATACTCCTATAATCCCTTTTCTCAATAAGCCATAAGAAACTACTGTGTCAGTTCCCTTTTCACAAAAATATAGTACTTGCCAGGGTAGCCTTTTTATATAACTACCGGTATATGTATATGTTAGATCCACATTTAAGTTTAATTTTGTCTCTGCTCATTTAAAGTTTAGAAGCAGGGGTCTTAATCGGCTGTTTTTTGTCAGCTTAAGCCGCTTGAAGTTCAATCAAGCCGATTGATAAAACAATGAACCGGCCACTATGGTATCATAAATCAATCTACTTTCGGCTAAATTACAACGGGTTAATTATTACTTATTAATTAAGAAGTCAGTCAACTTGCTTGTTGGCTACAATAACAGTCATACCTTTAGGTAAGTCATCAAACCTATCTATCTATTCATGGTTTTTGTATTCTTTTTTAGCCATTGTTTTTAAAGTTGTTCATATGGAAGCAACCAAGTTGTCTATGGTTTTTTCAACACCTCCACCACCATCACAAAAGGTATCCATCTACTCAGATATATATTTACTGAACTCATTTATACAAACTAGATTCAGGTTCAATCAGGTTCAGTTTGTTTTGCCTAAGTTCAAACTGAAAATTACACTGACATCAGATCAAAATAAAGACAGAAATTAATTTCATGAATTCAATCAATTATTTAAATGTTTGTTTTTTCTTTAGGAATGTGAAGCATTAATAAGTGGACTAGAAAAATCGGTTCTGGCTTTAGTTTCATCATATTATTCCTTACCTAAAACTCAAGGTAGGATTAACAAAATATTAAAAGGGCAATATCACTCTTAAAAGAAAATAGATATTCAAATTTAGATTTATGACTACATAAGTTATAAATTTTTATAAATGATAGCAATTATATTTAGCATAATCTCATACTTTGGAGCACATATTATATGAGTTGTATTTATGTAAATCTTGACAGACATGCAATTCTGAAATCGGCTATACAGGCTGTGTTTCGAAAGGCCATTGATCTTTTGTGCATTGAAAATGATGGAAAATGTTCCATAAAAACATGCAACCCTAATTCAGGTGTTAACGGTAATTCATTTTGCGGAAGAAGTACCAGTTTGACATAATATACTGTTATATCACTATTTCATTTTCTAAAATGTGTCATGGGAAATAACACAGTACATTTATTACTGTCTGTTGATTTGTAGGAATGACTCTCAGAAAGGAAATACAGAAAAATATTCAACAAATTATTGAAAGAATTCAGAATTTAGTTAAAAGTATAACAAAAGCCTGTGGGTAAGTAACAGAACTATTTTTTCTTGAAAATTGTATGTAATAGACAATGATCTGAACGGCAATACTATATACTGGAAAACAATGAAAAACACCGGAAAAACATTAAATACCGGAAAACACACTAATTACCGGAAAATACCCTAAATAGGTAACCCGGAGACTGGCACCCTAAATAGGTAACCCGGAGCCTGGTCCTCTGTGTGCCTGGGTTAGGATTAGGGTTAGGGTTAGTTTCCGGTTTATAGTATAGCCCTTCTCTGGGTTACCTATCCGGTATTTAGTGTGTTTTTCCGGTATTCAGTATAAAATGGTGTTTACCGGTAGTTTTCCGGTATATAGTATAGCCTGATCTGAATGACCCTAAAATTCGGAATACTAGGATCTCCAAGATAGGTCTGAATCTGGTTACATCCCTTTACTACAAAAATAAAGAATTAGAAGAGACAAACTCAAAGACAGAACCTGTTTTACTATTAATCTGCCCTAAATTTATATTCATGTATAATAGATTATTTTTGTATATTTTAGGTCAGCAGAACAGTTACAATCAACAGGCCAGGTGTGGGAAGAGATAGATAGGTTTGATGACTTAGCTAAAGGTATTTATATACATTTATCTTCCATCCTTTCAAGTGTCAGGCAGCCTTATTATCCAGATGTTAGGCCTGTCACAGATATGACCATGGGTAGGGTGCCCCAAAAATATCTCCAAATATTGATAATTATACCACTATATTCACATGTATAATTAGCCTTGCCTTAGTGTCTGGGTGCTGCAGTGGTTCAGCGCGTATGGAGCTGGTTCACTCCTGTTGTTTGCCCAAGAAAGTTCCCTAGGATTTACCGTTATCAGTGATGCAGGACAGAGGGCCTGGCAAGGATAGCACCAAGTTGTTAGTTTAGATGGGATGAAAAACTGTAAAAGAATCTTTGACAGTTGGAATTTAATTGCGGTATGGGCAAAATTACGCTCATAGCACACTGTATGGCATGTTTGTCCAACTTCATTGAGTGCAGAAAATTAGGACAATAAACTCTATTTCATTCATTCATTCTTTGATGCTCAATAAAATTAGACTGATTTTGCTAACCTACAAATTGTAGTTTGAGCATAAAATTTCCGATTTGATTCATTGTTTTTTTTTGAAAATATATTTTGTAGATAACAAACAAGCTACATTACTTGTTTTACAAGAGACTACTGAACTGGTGAAAGATGCTTCTCAAGAAATTGAACAGGTAGATATATAAATCATTATAATCTCTATTTTCTTATACCAAATGATTTATATATACTTGACTAGGATTACCTAACCATGACAGTTTACTTCATAGTATCCTACCACTGTTAATATACCTAACCTGACTGTTGAACCTTTGCATCCATTGGCCAGTATTTTGGCTTGGAGTCTTGTGTTCTTACCAGTGAAAGTATATGAATGTCTACAATTCTGTAACGACAGTAGATTTTGCATATTAATAAGGTGTTCCTTACCATAAATTAGTAGAATTAATACAGTGGGTAAGATTGACAAATTAACTTGGTTAGTAACAAGGGGTAGAGTGGACAACTTAACATATGCCCCAAGATAAAGATATTTAGTATACAATTACATGTATTAAAGTTTTATAGTCATTGACTAAACACTTCAAAGTACTGTAACTTTTGGAAATATCCTTATTTATATAGTCGAGGGGGGGGGGGGGTGGATGGCCGAATGGTTAGCACGTGCATGCTGTATCATAAAGCCTGTCATTGAGTCAACTGGCGTGGTTTCGAATCCCCGGTTGTACTTGACAACGAGTAGGGTCGCCTGTCCAAACTTGTGGGTTTTCTCTGGGTCCTCTGGTTTCCTCCCACTGCTAAAGACCCCTTAAAATAAAATTAAACCATATGTTAGTTCCGAAATGACCTAGTTTGTATCGAGTGGACGTTAAACCCCATCTCTCTCTCTTTATTTATATAGTCAGACATTCTTTTCTTTATGGCATTTACAAAAAGCTTAATGTTTCAAAAATTCTGATTTGTTGTTTATTTTTTTTTATGTGAAATGAATTTTCCAGGCTTTAGAAACAGAAGGTGACGATGATGTTTTAAATGAATTGTTAGATATGTCCGATGCAAGAAGTAATGAAAACACATGGTCTGAGGGTGAAAAAAACTTAATAACCATCAGTTTAGGTTTAATAAAAACTGTCAAATCAGCACTTAAAAAAACAAAAGAAGCAGTTAAAATTAATGGAAACTGTAACTCAGAAACCAACATAACCCAATTAGATGATTTAGCTGATTTTATGAAGAAATTAAGTCCGATTATAGATGATATGACAGTTGTTTTATATCCTCCTGTAGTTTCTTCATCAGTCAGGTCAAAGGTAGGAAAGAAAGAAATCTAATTACTGTATTTACTGGAATGTATTTCTGTATGTCCCTGGAAACTGTTATTTTTATGAGTGGATAGTTACGTCAGTGAAACAGGAGTGGCATCACAGTTTGATTAATTCCATTTGCAAATAATTATTTCCATTTATAATGTCACTTAGTGAGAGAAGGAGAGAGAAATGGGATTTAATGTCCACTCGACACAAACTAGGTCATTTCGGGACTAACATAATTTTATTTACATAATTCGCTTGTGCGTAGGGGTCTTTAGCAGTGTGAGGAAACCGGAGGACCCCGAGAAAACCCACGAGATTGGACAGGCGACCCTACTCCTTGCCACGTACAACCGGGGATTCGAAACCACGCCAGTCGACTCAATGACAGACTTTGTGATACAGCACGCGCACACTAACCATTCAGCCATCCAACCCCCCTGTCACTAAGTGACATAAGATGTGCAAATTATTGGCCACTGTCTTGAAGCTTTGAATTTATTTTGCTTTCGAATCCCCGGTTGTACGTGACAAGGAGTAGGATTGCCTGTCCAACCTCGTGGGTTTTCTCCGGTTTCCTCCTACTGGTCAAGGACCCCTATGTTAGTCCTGAAATGACCTAGTCTGTGTCGAGTGGACGTTAAACCCCCTTTCTTTATCTCTCTTGGATTTATTTATGTGATTAAACACAGGGTATGCAGTACACTCAGTAGAGTAAATCTGCTTATTTGGTGAAATAAAGTAGCAAATTATTGACTACATTTAGCGGAGATTATGGGCCAAAGAAAATGAAGATTAGCGGCAGATGAGACTAAGTGAGAATGTGTGTGTTTGGTGGGGGGGGGGGATGATTTTAAAGTGTAGCTATGAAATTGTTTGCTAATATGTTCCTACTTTTTAAAAATAATTTTACTATTACCAGGTGGATAGTTTGGGTTCCAGTCTTTCCAATATGCTTTTATTTTTAAAGTAAGTACAAGTTTTCTCAATTCCAAAAATAGTGAAAATCAAGTAACTATGGAGAAACTCAAGAAACACTGTGGCAAAAGTTCCCCAATAATATATACCCACATATCACTAGAACATGGTTGATGTGCTTGTTTACATCACTATTGCACCATATTATTATGGTAAGACTGACAACCAGGTTCCTGGCGACTCAGTTGCAATTCTGTAGCTTTCTAATTCCTTCTAAATATGGACTATGGTGTCATTTCTTTTCTGTAGCTGATTAAATCATTAATCAAGAACCTCCACAACTCCTCATTTCTCACACACTGTTGATTTTACATTTTTTCCAGAAATTCCCACCTTACTGTTGTGTCAGATGAGAAATGGATTGACTTTTTGTTGAAAGCTAAACAACACAATGTTGACAAGGTTTTAGAGGCATTAGAAGAGGTTTCTTGATTCAATTGCATGGACAAAATAAAGATTGTGATCAGTGCTAACCAGGAGACATTTATGATGCATTTATGATGAAAAGAACAGAAATAGCGAATTCCTGTAAATTTTGTAAACATAGATTTTATAAGAGATAGTTTTCCAGAATTCACTTGCCTCAACAACAAAGCTTGTGCCAACTGGATATGGAAATATCTTGCCCAAACTGCAAGTTTGATTAAATGTGATTTGTGAACTTCAGAACCTAAAATGATGCAGGCAAAATGTGATCTTTACTGACCATGGAAAATAAAAAACTAATTAGATTCTATATATATATATGGCATTTACACATTTCATTGTTATAAATTGTTATAAATGTAACGGTCACTGTCTCAATTCTCAAGTCAATTCTTCTACTAAGAGTTGACAACATAATTTAGTAAAATCGGACGTTATAAGTCAACCAATGACTTATACAGTAATCACGACCCATAAGAGACACAGGAACAAGTATTGTAAATATTTGTTGAAAATATGAAACAAAATCCATTGTACAAAATGTGAATTTTATACAGAAAATATAATCTTAACAATTTATATACAAAAATATTAATGTACAGTTATTATTTTCAGTTGAAATTTTGCTTAAGGTAGTAATAAACATATTCCAGAATGGTATGAACATATTCCAGAATGGTATTAAATTTGATTTCAGGATTTTGACAATTATTTTATAACTGAAGTATTTACAACAATTTTGTTTGTAGAATATTTTCTTTACGGAATCTAATTCAATCCTGGAAATTTTCTTTCGAGGAACACAATCGCTCACCCATGAACTGGTCAATGGATTTGATTGGTCTAATAGACAAGTCAAAATAGTCAATATCTCTGCCATTTTTACTATGTGTGATATTACAAATTGAAATGGTCAATATCTCCTCTGACATTTTTACTCTGTGTGATATTACAATCTTTCAAACAAGCATTAATTAAGCTGTTTGAATAGGTGCATCGAGTCGTAATCATATAAGCAGAAGAGGTAACCATGGTCCTGGTCCCCACAAGAAGTCTGGTTTTGGACTTACCACTAATTTATCATTTGTTCATGAATAGTAAATTGGGGTGATGAATATGAGAATGTCTTTACTAATTACCACAGTTTAAATGTGTGGGCCATCATCTATTATAAAGTCACAAGATTCTGTGTTATTTGATTGATTCTATCACCAACTGTAGTTGTTAATCTGAAGCACTTAACAGTCCAGTGTAACAGTATTATATACAGTCATTATTTACATACTCAAAAGATTTACAAACTAGCATCTAATTTATAATCCTTTCTGGTAGTGCTTAAAAAATAATGTACATTTTATTTTTAATGATTAACTTGTAGGAGCAGCTTGGGTTAATCTTTCTCTTCTTTCACGTTCCATGGTTTTCACTTTGTTCCACATTTCTGGAGTTGGATTGGGTTGGCAATGACTGAGTGTCTGAAGCCTGAAAATAAATTTAATTACATTTATAAAAGTTGGTTGTCAGGCAATGAAACATATGACCACAGTAGCTAAGTCGTCTGGGGAGTCAACAAGGGTTGTTGCATTTTTTTTTTTCTTTTGTCCGAAATGAAAACATTTACAACACACTGCGAGTAACAACCCATTTGGCTTCTAGTTCTGTCCTATTCTAACATTTAGCATACAAAACATTTAATATCAATTGCCATAATCATAGGAAATCGTTGAAAATTGAAAGGCTTCTTCGTATCGTATGAAGTCAACTGGATATTAACTTTAGCCTCTAAAGCGTCCACAAGATTTTTTAGACCGATCAAGGGCCATAAGTATGACAGTAATTATCGGAAATCAATAGGATTCTTCGATGCATGACATTAAAGTCGATCGGATATTAACTTTAGCCTGTGGAGTGTCCACAAGCAACTGTGGACGCCAGGCAGACAGGGGTGACGACAAAATTTGTAAGTGTTGTCTATTTTCAGGCTTATGAGAATTTCTGATCTATCCGAACACCCTGTAAATAGACTCTCAGAAATTTTTTACTTTGGAATGAAAAGAATGGCATGAACTCGTCTTTTATTGTCATGGTCGAGGCATCCCACTACGTGGAACCAAAGGTCGTAATAAGATATGATTGCGAGAGTAAGAACCAAATGTAGTAATGAACCAGAAGTAGCATAATTCTGAAACCGAAAGTGGTAGTTCATTGTCACTAGGCCTATGTTACTCCCTGATTCGAGCTACCCCTATTCACCAAATTTCAGCCTCGGGACAGCCCTATTGGAACCGCCAACCCCGAACAGACAGACAGACAAGTATACATTTTGTATATCAGAAATATATAAATTAAATACCTTAACAGATTCAACAGAGCATGAAAATCATCAATAGTCATAGCTTTTGGATTGTCTTTCCTTGAATCAACAAAATCATCCTGAATGATCTGAAATACATGTATATTCCTGATAAATTCTGAATAGAATAAACAGTCACCCATATTTTCCTGATTACCCAAATTAATTATTTCAAATTTGAATACCCCACCATTTATCAACGAACATGAAAATCTGAAAATCACTAATGCCCCTGTAAGACCTAAGAACCATATGTCACTGAAACTTTCAATTTAAAAGGAAAGTGTCTTTGAAATATTTTAACTTACCTTTTGAAGGTCCTCAGAAACTGAATAATCCATAGTATGTGTTAAAGTTATGTATGTTCTTAGTTTATTGAGAAACTCTGTAGTTAATCGACTATCTAATTGCTCAAAATGTTCCTGTATATTATCTGTAGTTAATTTCTTGTTTAATGGTACTTGAACATCACTCTGTTTATAAATAGAAAACAGTTAGAACTCTCATATTTTTCAAAACATTACAACAAAAAAATATATATTCAGAACTACTTCGACTCCCCTCCACTTGTTCTCAAAGTCACTTCTGTAGGAAACGGAACAATATTTGAATCCATTAAAACAATCCTTCTTACAAAGAGAGAGAGAGAGAGAGAGAGAAATGGGGTTTAACGTCCACTCAACACAAACCAGGTCATTTCGGGACTAACATTAGGGTTGATGATTTTCCGTGATCGCGGAAAAAACGCGGAAATCGCGGAATTGTCCACTCAAAACGGAATTTGAAATCTCACACGGAAAAAGACGGAAAAGCCGATATTTGCTGATACTAAACACAAACTCAAAATAATTTTGCAGTTATCCAAGTATTTCATCTTTTTATTCATAAAAATCGGAAATATTGAATGATATCGCGTGGTTTTGTTACTGTCTATTTTAGTATTTCGCTACTTTCATTTCATCATTTAGGAATCATAATTTTAATCGAAACGAAAACCCGTCTTTCATGTAATCCCATTATAAAATTACTCTGTAGTTTAACTTGAATTAAACATTGTAATGTATATATATGTCTTTAAAAAAAACTTCTGTCACTTCATAAAAGTAAAAATCGTTTCATTTACTTCTTATTTTACTGCCGGGCTCGTGACTTGTGTTTATCCCCGCATTAACCACGTGACATCAGAAATATACCGTAGCCTTGTGAATCCAGCCCTTATTCTCGAAGAAACGGTAGTAACTACGAAGATGTCTGGATAAATCGCGACTACACCTAGCAGCTGAGAAAAATGGCTTCGTCTGCTAAAAAGATGAAACGAGCTCACAAGATGTAATTTTCTGTTATTTAATTCGGGAAACAGGTTTAAAGAATAACTAGTCATTGAACATTACAAGTCATTCACAATTCAACATTTGTTATCATTGGTTTAAAATGATCCGTTTTGTAATAAAAGGCATTTTAAGATGTTTTATTCATTTATTCATAAAATAACATTTTATCTCGAAAAAACGGAATATGGTCAGCTCTGAAACGGAAAATAACGGAATTAAAAATACTTAAAACGGAATTTGCTATTTTCTGAAACGGAAAATCATCACCCCTATAACATATGGTTCAATTTTATTTCCATAATTCGGTTGCGCGTAGGGGTCTTTAGCAGTGGGAGGAAACCGAAGGACCCGGAGAAAACCCACAAAGTTGGACAGGCGACCCTACTCCTTGTCACGTACAACCGGGGATTCAAAACCACGCCAGTTGAATCAATGACAGACTTTATGATACATCACGCACGTGCTAACCATTCAGCCATCCAACCCCCCTCCTTCTTACAAGGAGAGTCACTGTGGCTGAGTGATTAAGTTGCTGGCGAGGAACTTTATCAGCTGACACCTGTATTGAAGCCCAAACCTCCTGGTTAGTGTGCCAGTACATTACTCACTGAGATCCCCAAAAAGTAGGACATTAAACGCCCTACTGTTCTGCTCCGACTGGGCTAATGAAGACGGACATGCGTCATACAGTGTGCTATGAGAGAAATTTTGCACGGGCAGCGGCACTATGGCCTACTCTTATATCGAATTACAACTGCCAAGGGATCTTTTACGTGCACGCCAATGTGTACACAGGACCTCAGTTTTCCATCTCATTCAAATGACTAACAGCTGTCCTTGTCAGGCCCTCCATCCTGCACCACTGACAATGAGAAACCACGCCGGAAAATCATGATGAACTTTCTCGGACACTGCAGGGATTGAACACGCGATCTCCAGGTAGCGAGCCAGCATCTTACCCACTCAGCCACCGTGGCTGTTAACTTAAAGGTATCTGAAAACGGAATGAATCGTTTTATCCAGACACGGTAGATTATAGCTTGGGACATTGTCTCCATTTCCAGATGAAGACTGACAGGTTTTAGTTGTTTGAAAACGTATCACATATATTGAGTTAGTTGGTTGAGTTTTAAGGGCTTTTCACACAAAATTAAGCCGTTTTATTCTCCAAAATATAATTGAGATTGGCCCTTTAAATCTGAACTTTTATCCTTCATGTTATAACATTAATAACAATGTATTTAGCATATTTCAATATTTTTGCATTTATTGTACAACAAATGAATTGTGACACCACATTTGATCAGACTTACCGGTAAAAGAGATTTTACTTCAGATAAAATCAGAACATTAACATTAGTTGAGAAAGGTTGACTGTGAAAGTTAAAATCATATTCGACTTTCTGCCATGTTATTAGATTACCCAGTGCTGTAACATTCCTTACACCTACAACATAAAAACATAAACGCTACAGCAACTGCTTTGTTCTAATACAGTGAGGTAGAGAGAAATAGGGTTTAACATATGGTTCAATTTTATTTCATTAATTTTTTAGATGTGGGAAGACCTGGAGAAAACCCACAAGGTTGGACAAGTGACCCTACACCTTGTCACATACAAGTCACTTGACTCAATGACAGCCCTTGTAATCTAATGCAACTAAGCCATTTGACCACCCAACACCCCTGTTCTAATACAGAAACACACACCATACTTCCTTTACAACCCATCAGTAAAATGTACAGGTTCATGAAGAGCAATATATTTAGCATTGACATTTCCTTCAATGCAAGAGTCAACCATTTTCAAAAATATGGTTAACACACAGATCTCAAAAAACATAGTGAGATTAGGACCATTTATGGCTAATCTTTTTTGCACTTTCATTACCACGAAGGCAAGTAGAAGCTAGGAGGAATATATCGTCTTTAATAGAATACATTATTTAGAATGTTTTATACCTTGAGGATTAAGTTGAACGGTCTGTAGAAGAATTTCACTTATAACTAACTGTGTATTATCACAAAGGTAAAGGGGAACTTACCAGCTTCCATAGAATATATTTAGAATGATTCATACCTTGAGGATTAAGTTGACCAGTCTGTAGAAGAGTTTCGTCTATAAGTAACTGTGTATTATCTGATAACTGTAATATACCACTTTCTAATCTATTAGCTTTTATATCTTTCTTTGGTATTAATTTCATTGTATTCATATTCTCAATTGTCATAGGTAATAAATGAGACTGAAAATAAAATAATTAAATTTAAGATACTTAATGAACTAAATTCGATGTAGAATTTTAGTTTATATAGATATGAACAAATTACATGACAAATTTGTATCTTTAAGAAGAAAGTATTGGTTAATGATGACACAACCACTAAAGAGATCTTAAACTGCTAGGATATCAAAATTAATATGCATACTAAGCAATTAATACAATTAAAGGTTGATTAATTAACAACCAGTTATTCCAACGGGCATAACTTGAGGCTGATGTGAACAAATTAGTTATTGCTTCTGAAATCCAAGTTCAAACTTTGGGCTGAAAGATGTGGGGGGGATTATAAATCAATTGACAGAAACAACATTAATTACCTTGGTAAGAATAGCCGATATTAATCTGTGCATTAATCCACCATAATATCTTGAGTTCGGACAATTACTCAGATTCAATGATAATTTTCCTAGAGGCATCACATCAGCTCTACCATATCTAAAACAGTCCATAAAATAAAAAGAATGAAGGACAGGTAAAAGACAAAATTAGAAATCTGTAAGTGGTGTGTAAATACAAAATCTGTCAGTCCTAATAATAGAAGTAGCTTAGGTCGATTAAGGACATTTAGAATATGTTTCAGCTCTGGTCGATATATTCCCTGCTTTGTTGGATATTCTTGTGTTTATTTTTCCGTCACTGGGTCCAGGTTCGATCCTGGTGTTGGTCGAGAAAATTTCTCAGGATTTTTCAGCTTGTTAACCCTTGTCAGAGGGGGCCTGTCAAGGAAAAGCGTGTCGTCATTTGGATGCACGTTAAAGATCCCTTGCCAGTTGGGAATCATCAAAATAAGAAAAGGCTGTACACTGAATAGCTTTATCCTTCTTTATTAGCTCTGTTGGTGTAGGAAAGTAGGATGTTAAACTACATCTTATTTCATTTCTTCTGTTCCTGGGATTGGGAGCAATCAGATGATATTTTGTTTAATACTTACACATATGATATAAGATGTGATAGTAAATATTCAGCTGCTAGATTATCACCTAATAAACTATATTCTAATACTGATATTAACTCATTTCTTAGATTCACTATATTACTCTGTAGACTGGACAATGCTGAAATAAAAGAACCATCTTTGGATTTCAAGATTGTTAACATCAAAAATACATGGACATAACTATGTATTAGCAGGACAACTGAGATCTTATATCTAGCTATATTACTATCACTGGGAGCCACGGTGTATCGCTAGCCTGGAGGTCGCTTGTTCGATCCCTACATTGGCCAAGAAAGTTCATCAGCATTTTCCAACGTGGTTTCCCCTTGTCAGTGGTGCAGGATGGAGGGCCTGACAAGGACAGCTGTCTAGTCGTTCAGATGGGACAAAAAATCGAGGTATTTTATATACATTGGCAGGCATGTAAAAGATCCCTTGGCAGTTGGAATTCGATATAAGAGTAGGCCATAGTGCTGCCGCCTGGGCAAAATTTCCCTCATAGCACACTGTATGGCATAGTTCATGTCTTCATTAGCCCAGTGGGAGCAGAACAGTAGGACATTAAACCCCATTTCATTTCATTTCTATATGTATCAGAGATATAAAGAGAAATAATATCTCAGTTTCTCAATAAATATACATGTAAGTACAATCTAATGAAGATATAATTTGTGAGAATATTGAGAAACTGAGATCTTATTTCGTTTAGCAAAAAATGGTACAGTAAACAAGCCAAGTTTTATCAAATTTAAAGATGCATTATGTAAGAGCTAAATCTGCCAATTGCTGGTCTTTATTTTGCCTTCAAATGTTATATAAACTATTACTTAGACATTTATTCACATGATAAGCCAATAAGCAACTCTCTAGATCATCAGATGGCCAAGATTCAAATGGATTACAATATACCTGCGAGATTTTAAAATTTAACAATAAAATGAATAATGAGACTCAATGGTGAAGTACTGTTGCTACAATAATGAACAATCTACTTAGATCTTGTCAACTCTTCCAACACCATAACCTCACTCAGGATAGAGTAATCTGAATGATATTTCACTCTATTTTCCTTATCTATTTTTGAATTATTATAGCAAAAATGACCAGCTTTTTATCTAAATTTTACATAATACATAGTTATCTTATGTCAGATTTACCTTCAGTGTAAGCTGAATCTGTTTTAAGGGGAGGTAATAATGGATTATCATGGTTTAACTTATTATAGAGTACCACATGTAGTCTTGGTACAAGTGATGGAGGAGGAGAGTGAGCTTGTCTTTCTTCTGGAGTTTCAAATTCTTCACCTCTGAAAAAAATAAAATTTAATAAGTTATTTGAAATAGATAATGATCTTGTGGTTGCTCAACTTTCTAAAGTGGGGACTGTTGAAATGGTCATGAAATAAATCGGAGATCATATGGTTAACATCCACAAGGCTAGTCTCGACTTTTTTCAAATTGGAAGAGGAGGTCTTTTCCAAATGGAAGAATCATTTATCAGGAATTCTTGGTAATTGTTAAGGTGCTAGAACCCACTCCACTTACTCTTGTGAATCTGGGAATTGTGCCATAGCTGGATCTACCGATAGAATACCAATAAACTCAACCACATCATTCACTTTAAACGTATCAACATCATCATAGATCTACAAAATATACAGCAAAATTAAAATTCAGTCAGTGGTCACGCATTCATAGAAATATTTTGTAATAAAATTACATAATACAATTATCATACGGGGGATATGGAATACTCTTTAGTAGAGTGGTGATCTTTGTTGGAGAGGAGGGGGAGAGAATGACTGGGGTTTGATGTTTTGTCAACCAAATATTTAGGTCATTTTGCAACTAACATATGGTAAGTGTTGTTTCATATAGCAATTGCTGTTTCATATAGCAATTGCTGTTTCATATAGCAATTGCTGTTTCACAACTTACAAAAATCTGATGAACTGAAAATTTGTCAACATTTATCATCCTCTGCAATTGCTGACAATATGGAATGTGGTCAAAACAAGCCAGTTTCAATTGTAATCTAAGCCAAAATATTTTGATGGGCCTTTTTTTAATCCATTCCTGGAGATATCTACAGCTGATATTTTTATTTTGTTGAAATATCAATTTGGGTATATATTAGTATGGATTAAGCCCTGAAACATGAGATATTGACCCAAAAATGCAAAGGACGATCACAGGTTATAAGACATAAGCTTACATGTACCTTAACAAGACAGGTGAGGCCTGTTTCTCCGGGTAATGGATGATTTAAATCAGGTTTACAATTTGTACCACTTCTAACACCTGTACCATTAGATCCATTTGCTAAAACATCAAAAAGATAATAAGTATTGTTACATCATAAATACACACTGACATTTAACTCCTTGTCACAATTAACAGATAATTCTTACAATATTTATTTTAAAACGTGACATATTCCTATAATTAGTTACTGGAGTTGCACATAGACTATTATTACTAAATAAAATTGTCCGACAGTCAGAATTATTTGATTTTACTTGTCCAAGGGAGATAACACCATTTGCAATGACCCTTCCCAGACACTAACCAGGGCAAGTTAGACACTTTTAGATAATGTTTAATTACTGCATGTATATACCTCTTCTTACCTTGATTTGGACAGTTATTTTGTTGAAGTGATTCAGCTTCCATATTAACATCCCCATTTTGATTATTGCTGTGTTTCTCTCCTCTTTTTTCCTGATCATCTTCTAATGGACGTTTCAACCTGGACTGTGAAGATGATGCACCATGATCAGATACATTCTGGTTAGCATAAGCGTGCATCAGGTTAAGGCAATAATTAGATAAAATATACATGCATATAGATACAGTTCACTATAGCTTATTTACTTTGTCGGAGAGAGGGAGAGAAATGGGATCATTTCAGGACTAACACATGGTTTAATTTTATTTCAATAATTTACAGTGGGGGGGGGGGCGGAGGACTTGGAGAAAACCCATGAGACTGGACAGATGATCCTATTCTTGGACACGTACCACCGGGAAATCGAAACTACGTCAGTTGACTCAATGACAGATGTTATTATATTAACCATTCATCCATCCACACCCCCCCCCCCATTACTTTGTTGGAACATTTTATATCAAATTATTAAGCCAGGCAAATATGATCATTAAACTTGTATACCAGGATAAAGTATATTCTTCAATTCCACTACTGATCGCAACAATACTATAAGAAAACAAACTATTGCGAACAGATTATCCAATTTGATTCGCTATCTGGTGCACGAATCACATTATTAGTGAAACCCATTTTATATCAAAACACACAAGGTCCTGATGAATATTTTCAAAGAAAAAGGATATAAGTTTGACCCAATCAGCTTCACCAGGAATTGGAACACAATAAAATGTCTGTCGATCCATTGGTTTGTTCTCGGATGATTCCATATTTACTATCTGTTGGGGCTTCAAAATAAAAAGTTTCTAAAATCAGATCTAAATATAAAGAAAGCATACAACAGGTATAACTTTTGGTTCAGATTTTTACACTTAAATATTTAAAACAAAACATTGTTCACCAGAAATGGGAATACAATAAAAATGTCTGTCGATCCATTGGTTTGTTCACTGATGATGCCATGTTTATTATCTGTTGGGGCTCCAAAATAAGAAGTGGCTATTTTTAGTTTTGGCTTAAGTCCTCCCCCAGTTTTTTTTTTCTAATCCCCATCAATTTAAACAAGCTTACAAATAAAATGTACAGTAAAGACATAGTTTTTTATCATCACTTACTGTACATTCTGCAATATCTTTATATTTTCCACATTTTAAACTTTTTTGTCCAGTCTGTACATCATTTACTTCGTAGACACCGAGATACAGTTCTGGATCAAACATATCTTGTATCATACATCTGTATTTAACGATTGTGTTAGGTCGAAGGTTATGGACAGGTATATCATTTAATGAGGGAATCTGAAATATTACATTGTAGATATATGAAGAACCTGAGATAACTGAAATATTTTGAAGAGATGAAAATAAAAGCAAGATAAAAGCTACATACAGAGTAAAAGCAAATGATTTCTTCTGTTGGATTATTGACAATGTCAATTGATTGCTCTAAACACCAATAATGTTCACTCTTTTGTAAAATATATTAATATATATTAGCCTATGTAGTCCATTTTGTATGCAGTTCCTAACAGTTTTCTAAACAATGCTACATGTTTTTTTTTTTATACATACACTTGCTGTAAGATAATGAAAGGAAAGGCAATTAATTAAAATCTTTAACTTACCCAGGCCAATGATTCTCTTCCAGTCAGTTTTTTTGAGAAATATTCTTTTACTTGAGTTGGTGTAACATTTTGTCCGTTTTGATCTGAAAAATTAGAAATGAATATTTTTAACTCAATATCACCAATATTGCTGGCTGTTTGGCGACAGAATATTTTTGATGACAACCCAAGACGAGACAGGTCTAGTATCAGAAATGAAATGAAATACCTGTCCCACTTTTCTGCACCACCAGACTAAGGTTTTATTAATTATTCATCATTTATCATCATCGTTATGATGAAGTCTGAAAAGCTGTGAAGTAAGTCCGAAAAGTCATCAGACCGAGTCAAAACTGACGTGGAACTGCTACCCACAAATCTACCATTATTTCAACATTACAGTGGTAACGCATTACAGTTGGAGACAATAAATTATTGAGATATATTACATTATGGATTCATAGTTGAAATAATGGTGACTTTGGCATTTGGGCAAATTGTGCTATTAGTACTACAGGCTATAGCCTATAATTATATAGCCATAGCATGATATTGATGATGATAGGTCTACTTAAGTGTAATATAATGTATCGTATCACCACGAGACCATAGATAAGATAAGATGTTTATTGCATCAAAACGTCCATGAAGGACAGCAGCATATACACTTAGACATAGTCATATACATTCAATAATACATATTACACAGACAACTCAATACATTCATACAAACAGTATACTACATACAACTGTACATGTATATCAAATAGTAAGTGCAGGAGGACTGCACTACAAACAAAACAAAAATCTACAAGATAAACCTGCGGACAAGACAGAAAATAGACATTGCGCCAAATAAACAAATATCAAATCAAGTGAATGGAAGGGGTTTCAGTTAGTGTTATATGTAGTTGCCACCAAATTTGATTTAGCTCTCTTATCCAAAGCCAAAAACACATATAAAGCCACTGCCTTGGCAATCAATTTTGGTGGTGTAAAGAGATTAATAAAATTGTAGGAAATCTTAGGATTTGCCGATCTGCGTATAAAATTATAAATGGGCTTGGCGTATTTCTTCATACTTGCTACAGTATAGCATAAAATGTTGCTCGTTTTCGATCCGAGTTTAAATCGCAAAATTTCTAAGTGATGCGTACCGGTACTGAGTGAGAGTCTAAGTGTGGTCATAGCTTAAATGGTCTCTATTTTTAACCGAATATAAATTATAAATAGTCTGGAGAGTTGGTAACAGTAGGTTTTGAGATGAAATATGTACATAATTTGCTGTTATTGAAGTTAGAGGATATGTGGTAGAAGGAGTTAAATTTTGATTCGAGGGATTTCTTTATTATATTTATATTCTCTTTATTTAGCAAATTCATGAACACAATATGATTTTCTAACATAATGATAATGGCCATACCAATAATAAGATGTATTTTAATTTGTTGTCCTGTATGAAAGGGCTAGCCAATATTATTAATAAAATAAAATAAGTGTTATTACTGTTATCAATCAATCATCCAATAATTACAATACAATAATGACTGAGTCTGAGTAACGAACAATTGAATCACAATACAATGTGAAATGTGATCGAATGTTTATGTTATCATTTCTCAGATATTATGGACTGCATAATTCTTTACTTACCAAACAAATTTTGAATTATGTTCAATGGACAGTTCATCCAATCTTCTACACCTGGCATCTTGGATTTGCGTCTTCAATTTAACTTATTCTAAAGAACAAGGAATACACTGAAAGAAAACTTGTATATATTTACCCACGTTTTTGAGAGTAAACAAGTGGAAGAAAATATGGCGGGAAATATTATATACTCTCTAAACCAAAATCCCCGTTATCATGTGCTTGATTATCAAGTGTGCTAGTCTCGATTAACATCTATACAAATAAACTAAATAAACTTTTGCATCTCCATTCTGATACTTTATCAAATCGGCTGTCTGCCATTTAAGAACGTCTTCAGATGTTATAATAACCTACGCCGCTGCTCGGGCAAAATCGTACGAATGTACGTATGTAATACGAAGGTTATGGACCCTCTTTGATGAAACTTAAAATATATCTTTATATCTCAAAGATCTCAGTCTCTTTCGACATTTGTACATTTCAGACCATAACTTCCTGGATTATGGCCCCTGATTGTACGAAAAATCGCTTTTGTTTTTAGCTTGTTCTCTATCCATCTCTTGTCGGGCAACAGTTGGTTAAATGACTCAGCTGAATATTAATTTGTAGGCCTCACTTTGGTTTGATTGAATGTGTAAACCTGCCCATTTTCCCGAAAAAACCAGCCAACTCGGCAAAACAATCGGTCCCTTTGACTATATGGACTAAGCGCCCCAATACCCCTTATTGTGCGCCCCTGATTATATTTTCTGAATTCAGTGCATTATACAGATTACTTACCTGTTTTAAATTGCTCAGTAAATACAGCTTCTGTCAGCTATATGACTATATAAACATGCATTCAGTAAACGGAAATAACTGTTTAAAGTAGCTGTCTCTTACTCAATATCATCCAAAGTCTTCGACATTGAAAACAATTTAAATCAACATTGGTGTTGTGGTCTTACCGGGAAAAGGTGGGTCTTTGATATCCAATATTTAAGACAAATTGAACATTTTACCATTGGTACACGAATCGTGTCTCAATTATCTATTTTTTACGATTAATCATCATGAGGACATGAAATAACGAATGTTAATGGGAGCATGACCTGAATGTGCCGATCCCGTACTATAAAAAAAGTACTTCGTTGGCCTAGTTGTCCGATAAATCAGTGTAGTCCGACCTTGATTTGATTGACCCTAATGGTCTTCCGTATAGAAGGACTGATGGAAGTAACGGCGACATTGGCTTCAATTAGCAACATGTTATCGATATGTGAAGTTAAATATCACACAATTAGGAAAATAGAAACCCTATTGATTTGTAAAATTATCTTATCGGTTTCATGGAGACATGTACGACACGAGTGTTTACCCGATTTGTTATTTTAAATAACTACATGCTAACTTTGTTGGAGTTACCATCAAGTTTCAGGCGCCACCCGAACAGTCAAGGTATTGAAATCTGAACTTTTTAAATGTTTTTATTTAGTTTAGTTTTGTTTCTATCTGTAATCCGTCTTTTTTCAGATGTGGTTTTATTTTTTTATTACACGTGGAAATCGAACCGATCCATATCTTAACAAATATTTCAGCGATTTCAAATCAATACTTTATTTATTTTTTGCTAAATATTGCAAATTGAAATTGTTTCTTTCGGGTGTTTTTTGTTTACTATAATGAATTGTGTTAATATTGACTAGTATGAGGTGTACTTGGATAAATGATTATTTATTTATTTTTTTAACGCAGGACATTTAAGCTATAAACCTATAGAATGGATAAAGATAAAAGTTTGGCAAGAATCCTCATGGTATGAAACTTTACTTTTACATTGTTTTCACAATATTTTGTTTTCCTTATAAACGACAACATTCCAATGGGCAGGTGTCAGATGTAAAGGGTAAAGCTATTCGCATTGCAGTTCTGGGGGTCGGACGTACCATTGCTATAACGTTTAGCTTGTGGCAAAGACACGGGTAGTCATATTTTTTTCGGCCTATTTTACTAAATTTTGTTAACTTGTATAATGTTGAGCAAAAATATATATCCGAAAAAAATATTGATTAATTATCAATTAACGGCGAGAGCCATAATGGGTATTTTAGACAAGAGCGGAGCGGTTTAAACCAATCGGTTGCTGAGCTACGGGCATTTCAGTAGTGGCAGAAACGCCCATTTTTTAATCCCAAATCGCCAAATCTGGACGGGCCATATCTTAGGAACCGTTACTCCGACCGAGCTGAAAATTTGAATATCAGTTTTGTAAGGCAAGATAAGCATATGACTAAAATTACATGAAAATCGAAGGAAGTATGACTTACCTTTTCAAGTTTTTGGGGCACTCGATCCAACCAAATTGATGGTTGATAATAATATCATGTGTGCTGATTATTCTTAATCATTCTTATTAATGGATATCAATCAAATTTAGAAAAGCGTGTTCTTTGGGCAGTACTTATTCAGAAATGATGAAGAGGATTCTGCAACACAACATACCGAAACAGTTACATAACCCCAATGGTCATTAATGACAAATAAAACTTTCTTGACGACTTTGCAGCTGGTCGGTGTATAAAGGGGATCACAATGCAGAGAAAAGTGGTGTGAGGTTGGATTTTCGGTGCTAACTCTTGCAAAATTTCACACGTACTATGGCCTTACAGTTCATCTATCTCTTACATGTAAAATAAACCAACATTAGTACTTAAATAATACAAAACGCATACAAAAACTGACAAAAAGACGGTATTTTTGACTTGTACAGTTTATTCATAAAATGTAAAAACATGATTTATGTAAGCATTTAAATTGCACCTATTTTATATGCCTCTATGTTAAAATGTCATATGTTCTTCAAAAACAATGTATAGTTCTACCAGAAAAAAACACATATATATATTAAAGTTCTTACTATTTACAATGTATAATTCTACCTGAGAAACACGCATATTATATACAAGTTCTTACTATTTACAATTTATAGTTCTACCAGAAAAACACACATATTATACCCCGGTCGGGATCAAGATCGCCATAAACGTGGTAAATGGGTCGTGGAAACACTAGATATCGTGCTATGGTCCCCATGGTCACCAATGATCGCCGGGTCACGGCGTTTATTTTGAGCATGTTAAAAGCAAACGCCAAGGTACTGCGATCTGGCCTGGAAAACTGTGAGGACGCGGCTTTTTCCAATTTTGTATTTTTTGTGGAGATTTTTTCGCGTTGTGTTCACGTCTGCCGGCGACCTAGTGTATTTTCTGGTCGCCGTACGGTAGCATCAGCACAGTAAGCACGCCAAGAACTTAATTTTTACAATTCTTGTATGTAACACGTATTTTATATGTTTCCCCCTGAATATACAATAAATGCGTGTCTTTAAAGTTTAATTAATGACGTACTACATGTATATTATTTAACAAGTATTTTATATCAGTTTTCTACCTGAATCTATAGAATAAATACACGTCTAATTTTATTATTCAGCTGGTATATAGAACCAAGTAATGAATGATATATCATTGTGTAGTTGATTTAACCATTGACAGTATTTTCAATTATCCATTTCTATTGAAAAGTTTAGATTGTTATAAAATAGGTTTAGGTATCTTAAAAAGTATTTTGTTTTTCTAATTCCACATTTAAATCTAAAATCGGAGGTAGTTTCCTGTATTTACCAGTATATGGGCGTTTGGTTGGTTTATTTGTTGGTGGTGTAGGTTTATAGACTTTTGGTATTGTTGGTATTGATTTCATTAGATTTGGTAGAACTGGTATTCTTAATTTTTGAATTATCTTTTTATTTTCTTTACTGTCGTCTTTAGCTGATACGGATTTAATCTTTGTCAGAGTAGAGTTAGTATTTCCAGAGTTAATGTTTCCAGAGGATGATTTAATCTTTGGTAGAACAGTGTTTTTATTTCCAGAGAAGGATTTGATGTTTGGTAGGTTAGAATTTCCAGACTGAATCTTTGGCAGAGCAGAATTAATGTTTTGGGACGATGGCTTAATCTTTGGCAGTGTCGACCTCATTTTTCCGGATGATAGCTTGATCTTGGGCAGGGTAGAACTCATTTTGTCAGTAGTTGTTAGTCTTTCTGGTTCAAGCTTATTAGCCAATCTGGTTTTGTTCTTCTTTTCTGTGATTGACAAATTTGGTACATTCACAGTGTTCGATCTAGTGAATTTTGGCATTAATTTGGTGGAAGCATCAGGGTTGCTCATAGATTTATCTGAAGAAGATATTTTTGAATGGTTTTCGGCATGTTGATTTGACGAAGGAATGTAAGCAACCAGTCCAATAGCAGGCAGTTTTTGATATTTTCCCAGACTATCTTGATAAGAGAATGATCGTACTGTTGATGAATAATTATTAATCTTATAATTTCCGATAAAAGCTGAAGCTTCTTCTTCTTTGTTTGCAGAAAGGTAATCAGTCATCTCAATCTCAGCTCGAATTCTTTCCATGTCGTTGACAGGTTGAGTCTTTTCAAAAATGTCCATAATTTCAGGCCACCCGACATTGTCATTATCCACTATATCCTTGCTCGTATTGTTAGATTCCCCACCTTTGTCCATGATGTTCAATTTCTTCTCGCTGGTGCATTCTCCTGCCTTGTCCATTACTGTGCACCTGTCTTTCCTGTCTCCTGTTTTACATATGCCATCCTTTTCCAAGATTCTAAGTTTATCTTCATCTGGACTGGATAGTGTGATTGGTTCAAGTCGTTTGTCCACTAGTGCTTTTAGTAAAGGATCAACAACTAGTGGGTCATCTTCTTGGACCCTCTTCCCGTAACGATATCTTACTTGTTTTTCTTTCTTTGTTGGTTGTATAACACCATTCCCTCCCTTATACTTGGAACTCTCGAACAGCTTCCAATAAAAATCTGCGTCTTCGCCCGATCGTTCTACACTGTCTTGTAGAATTAGAACTCTGTTCATGCAATCATCGTGATCAGAATGTAGATTGTTTATGTACCTAAAATAGCAATAAGTAGTATATTAAAATAATGATGTATAATCAAAGGTTTTGACTTAAATCTTATTACAACCATTATATGACACGTCAGTATTTCAACTGTTTGAAATTATGTTTATATATTTTTAAGAAAAAAAAAATATTTACTTGTTAAGATCTCGAACTTCCATCTGTAAATCAGTAATATCTAATTTAAGTTCACCGATGTAGCTTATGAAATCTTCTTCTGTACTCCCTAATGATGGTCCTGAAATATTAAATACCAAAACTTGTAAAGTATATAGACCTGTTTGGTTGCACAGACTATTATGAGCAATGTTTGTTTTCAGATCAGGTAAACGAATGGGATCTACGAGTCTTCTATAAATTTTATGATTTATGTTGTCTTAAACTTACCTGAGCAATGGTCTATTTTACTCTTTGGTTCTAGTGTGGTTTGAGTATTTTCTCCGTTCTTTTCTAATTGGAGACTTGATTCAGATCCATGTAAAGATTCTACATCAGAAACTGATTCAGGTGCCGATGTGGATTCCGAATACGATTTTTCCAAAAATGGTTCCCCTGGAATTGGTTCAGGAAGTCCTACAATTTAGAAATAAACCATACTGTAAAACTAAAATAAAATTATATCTAAGAAGATTATTGTGACCTAGTTTCACATATAATTTATTTAATATATTCTTTGATACTGCCAGAAATTAATTCGGAAAAAGAGAGAGAGTAGCAGGGGGAGTGGGCTTGAAATCAAAATAAAGATCCTCAGGGCAATAAACCATTAGGTCACATCAGCCCTCAACCCCTCAGTAAAAAACGTACCAGTGATTGGTCTAGGAGATGGATATGGAACATTTTCATTATCTTCTCCTAGAGATACCATAGCTCGATGTCCTTCTAATACTTTCTTCTTAAAACCATGGAACCAATCCATTCTGTAATTATAACACAAATACAAGATTCTTCTTAAAGTTATAAAACTTCATTCCCAGTTAGTCTAACGACTGGAAAGAAGATAAAGTGGCTTTTAATATTGAAGAACATAAAAGGAAGTTTTAATCCTATTATTTTGTTTTGGTTTGTCTTATGTCTCTAAAAACACAGAGAATGCATTGGTTTAGTATACTTTGAAAAATAAAGAGTTTATTCACTTACCTTGAATCCATAGTTGTAGCAAAGATGTAAAAATCTTCGAATAATAACAGTTTTAGCACAGAAATAGTAAATAAAACGTCTTACTAATTCTAAAACTTGTAAAGTTGTAATAGAACAATAGAAATAACGTCACCAGTTTCATTATCTGGTCGTTTTAATTGTGACGTCATAATGGGTAAACTTTGAACCCCGCACTAATGTTTATTACCTTATCCCCAATTCTTATTATTGCACATTCTTATAGCGCACACTTCCAAGACTAAATGCTCACGTGGGGTTTACAAATATGACACAGAAATAAAATATACAAATAAAATAAATAAACTAAAATATAAATAAGACATACATGCTAACAATTAGTAACATTGAAATCGACTTAAAATCATATAAATTTCATAATTTCATAATACTATGCATAAATTAAATAACGTTCCCTGCTTAGTATTTATCGTATACCTATGACCTATACAATACCAACTTTAATCAGTTCATTTACATTTTATTGGATATATCAAAATAAAAAAAAATCTGGTTTAACGTCCTACTTTTCATCACCGGCTGGGCTTATATAGACGGGCATTAGGTATCAGAGCCCGGGGAAACATTTGCCCCCCTTCGCGCCTGCACCCGCCACTGTAAATTTAAATTTATCAAATTCAGTAACTTGTTTTAATATGACCGACACCTGCATTTACTGTTTTGAATTCGATTATACACAATATAGAAAAGCAATACCAGGCCCGTAGCTAGCGGGGGCGGGGGAGGGGAAAAATCAGCGCCCTTTCCAGTGGACGTAATACGAAGCCAACGACCATCGTGTCCATATCAGTATGGGCGCCACATAAAGCCGAGTGACATTGGCTGGGCTCCCACGACGAGATTGGCAGCGCGCCCAACCAATGTCACTTGGCTTTATGTGAGTCATTATGAGGCTCCTCACCATGACTCACACGATTAACACCACAGCTTGATTGATGGGGCGCCTAAAACGGCTTGATCTGTGGGGTGCCTTATCCCGGAGGGGCGCCCATAATGACATGATTTGTGGGGCGCCTTATAAGAAAATTTATGACGCGTGAGATTGGTTTGGCGCCTACGAATGAATCAGGCGCCCAAAACGGCATGATAATCTTCAAAATTCAAACACGTCGCACTGTAACCCGATTCAGAACTTTTTGTTTTTCTGATAAATTATTATAGGTACGTTAAGTTTAATAATGTTCATATCAAAAAATCGTAATACGCCAATATCGCCAATTCAGCTTCAAAAATGAAATTTTCCGCCAGTTTCAGGTGCAAACCCTATTTTCCCAAATTTTCTTGGGGGAGAGCACCCTAGACCGTTCTCCATAGGGAGGCGTGTCCACGGTGCCGTTCGCCGTGGACCGTCAAGTGTAGGTACATCGGCGCCCCAGAAACCCTATCGGCGCCCCCAGAAGCCTTTGCCACCCCCACCACCCCCCCCCCCCCCAACAATTTTGGGCTAGCTACGGGCCTGAATACCATTCATTTTGTTCATCTGAAAGTTTCAGCTTGTTCGGAGGTCGTCTCTAGCTTTGCATAACGGGGTTACCTGATATCGTTTAAGATTTAAACAGTTGTCTTGGTAATTACGACACATGATTATAGTCATGAATATCCAGACACTTTGGGATAGCTTGGAATTTGGAGACTTGTTATCCAAAAGATATGGAAACTGAACATTTATGTTTCTGCGAAAAGGTACCTCAAGGCTACCGATAGCTGAACTGGGCTGGGATACATAATATTAATTTAAACAATATTCCGAGAAGAAATAACACATCTGATCCGCTAAAATGTATCTGCGACGACCATATAAAAACCCTAATTTTTGTAAATGTATTAAAATATTTTGGGAGAAAATTCATAATTTGTTATAAATTGTTCTTATCCCTTTGTAAAGAATATTTTGCAATACACTATCTTGGCACAAAATAAGGAAAATAGATAAATGAAATTCATGTTCATCCTTTTTTTGTGTGGAACTTGCGAAAGTTGTTCTTTTATTTCTTTTTGAAACATTTTTTTTTTCAGATAGTTACAGCTATTTCCGTTTTTCCTGAAAGTGAAACGCAGGGTACGTATTTTAAATATAAACACATACATACTACTAACCTAATACGGGAGAATCGACGGATAACGAAACATGCCATGTAACGAAACATCCCCACTCCGCACCAGTAGATAAGTGGTCAAAACATTTATGAGCTAAACATCTCATAAAAAGGTCAGATCACAAATGATAATTACTATTTTTTTCATTTTAAGGGAAGTCTGTATCATTACAGGCCGGGAACTGTACAGCACAGTCCGCGGGGTTGTAATGTCGGCTTTGTTTTGTGTGCAGTGTGGTTTTCCTGCACTTACTGTTAGAGCCCCTGGTGGTGGTGGTGGGGGGGGGGGGCTAATATACGGAAATAAACCTAGAAGTTGTAATCACAAGTCTTTGAAAATCAAATCTATATGATTCGGCCATTCAGTTTAACCGATAGATAATCAAATTTCAGGGGTCTTTAGCAGTGGGAGGAAACCGGAGGACCCGGAGAAAACCCACGAGGTTGGACAGGCGACCCTACCCCTTGTCACGTACAACCGGGGATTCGAAACCCCGCCAGTCGACTCAATGACATACTTTATGATACAGCGCGCGCACGCTAACCATTCAGCCATCCAACCCCCCTGCTAACAAGAAATGGCGACAGAGCGATGGGTGAAGGGACAGCCATTAATATATATATATATATATTGCAATATATCAGCTATTTTAATCTAATTAAAATTAAATATTATTTTTCTTCCGATTTCCTCGCGTGCTGCCACCGTTAACAGTTAAAAACATGTCTAAGCAAAGGTGTGTTTTTGGCCCTGAAGAGACAACCAACTAGATGTCTGGATAATCAGTGCATTTCAAAGGAATTCGGGAAATGTAATTTATATTAATGCATTGATAGAGTGGTTGAAATTCATACGGGGTGTGAGCTGTTCTATTTTCTGTCATGGTAAGGTTGCGATTGGTAGATAGATATATATTCGACCAATCACAACCTGTGCTTTCAGACAGAATAGAATGTTGTTGCAATTCGGATTAAACTTCAACTATAATAATATGCAAATTATATTTTTCAGCATGTGACGTAAAGAGTATGATTATAGGCGATTGTATTGATGCAGAAGACTATTGCAAAGTAGACGACAACAAACCATGGACACCACCAGCAGACAACCACCTTGTTAACGTGGAATTAGTAACCCCTGACTTGAATGCGGAATGTTACGACAGGTTCACGTTTAGTGGTCGTCAAATAAATGATGGTTGCAAAGGAGAATACAATATTACATACTGTACAGGTGACTTAATAACCTGAAAGGAGAAATTTCGTTTTATATTTGCCCTTAAAGTTGCCCGTTTGGCTGACTTGCTATATCGTAGTCCTCATTATACAGAAAGGGGATGGGCTTCGCATTAACCCTCAGGATATGAATACTGATGTCTTTGGCATACCACGCCCTAACTCTAAACCTAACCCTGACTGAAAGGAGTCAATCAATCTGTAATCATGAATTTGTAACCCGGCTGTTACGCCAATCCTCTCCAATACTTTGAGGGATAAGATATAGCATCTACGGATCTGGGTTGTTTTGCGAGACCAGATCAGTTTTCTAAAATGCTATGCTATTTAACGGTGTTAAGTGATTGAACACATTTAAATAACATTTCATTGGAAGACAATTCCTGGTGCGACTTTTAATCTGAGCCATGTTTCTACAATGGCATTACAATCTCCAGATCGTTTATTTCACCGAAGTCCGCATCTCTCCCATTTCTTTGATATTGGTGCCACTCAGTTGGTAAGACGCTGGATCGCTAACGAGGGTTTCTAGTATTGACTCCCAGTGTTGGCCGAGAAAGTTCGCCTGGATTTTTCGGCGTGGTTCGCCATGTCAGTGTTACAGGACGGGGGGGGGGGGGGGTGGCTGACAAAGAACGGTGTCTAGTCGTCCGCGTGGTACGTAAAACCGAGGACCCGCGTACAGATTGGCACGTAAAAAAAAGAATAACAGTTGGAAATCGAAATACGAGTCCGGGTAAGATGTCACATTTCACTTTGATATCACCTTTAACACATTCTCGATTTATTCATAACTTCCACCCTTGTTGGCATATTTCTATTTGAGTGAAACTTGTGAAACTTTGAATGTAAGTCAGCTGAAAGGCATATTCCTGAAGCAATGTCCTGAGAAATCCCTCTGTGGCCATTGCTGGATTGACTTTTGGTACTTGAACTTTTGAGGGAGTTTGTCTATTCTTTCCGTTCAATCAAAACTCTCCTAAGTACAGAAACATGACAGCCTTTCGTTTAATCTGGGGTCTTCCCTAAAACTTTGGACAGTGATTTAAGGTATTAAAAACGGCGAAAGTATTGTCCGTCTCCAAGCAGTATTGTTTACATTGTTTGCCGTTTTGATAGCCTCCTTTGTCAGGCAATTATATTTTCTGCAATATTCTGCTATGCACTAGTTGATTGGGCGTAATAAATTTCGTGAGTCATGACTTAACGTTATGTAAACATATCTGGAGCTCTGTTTAAAGCCGAATAATACTGTTACGCAGTTGGGTATTGGTTGTTAATCGTACTATCGACCAGTCATAATTTGGAACAGAAAATTGTTTTCGTTACAGCAGTGTTTGAGTGGAATTAGGTCTAATCAAACGAAACACTGCGAGGAGTATGGCTGTTAGGATGTATATAGAGATCAGTATATAGACTTCCTGTCCCTGGAAACAATTTAAATTTTAGTTTCTACACAGTTTGCAAGTGCCCTCAAAACAAAACTGATTATTCCATCTCCAAGCGACACTAATGAAGGAAGGGATACAAATATGAGTTCAGCGGACTCTTGTTTTGATGAAGGAGAATGCTATTATGGACATACCTACCTTCCATGCACTTGTTCATTATATTGCCATTCGAGCCAGATTTGTCAATTATTTGTAGAATGCATGAAACAGGAACAACCATGGAAAGGCGACAAGTTGCTGTCTAGACAGTACTATGGGAGACATGAGATTTTAATCTATATGGTACCTATGGAATGTGTACAGGATGTATCGTATGGTATGGATGAAATAGGATTCTGGGTAACATCTGAATGCCAAAAGGCAGTTCTGTTTTATTGCATACCACATAGTAAGTGGATATATTATATACAGTTGAAAGAAACCCCGTCACCATTGAAGTAGATTTTGAACCATTATTCTTACTATACAGTTTTAGGCGGACAATTCAATAGTTTAGTATTATGGAAGTTTACGATCGCGAGTTCCGTGGTTTATGCCTATGTTCTACCGGACATTTTTTGCTACCGATGAAAATTGATGAGCCTCGGAAGGCGTCGGAAATAGATTCCCCGGGAAGCTTCGGGAGCGTCGCGAGTCATGTTAAACCATCTGGATACGTTATGATATTAACTATCGGTGAAGGTTTTCCGGAGTTTTCCCGATTATTGGGAGCCATACCCGATGAATCACGGTAACTTTTCGGGGTTCATTCCCCGCAGAAGCTTTATGACCATAACCGAAACGCCAGTGAACGCTCACCGGAATATCCCCGATGTCTAATAAGTGCCATTTCTCATGGGACTATCCGGTTTTTGTGACCAAAAAAACACCGGAAACCATCGGGAATTTTTTTTATTATATCCACATCGCCGATGATGTTTCCCCACTGGGACCTAGGCATTACTGATTAAACAAAATCATTTGCACTGTTAATGTTAGATGTGACCATTGGTAATCTAGGTGGTTATTATTGTTGATCAGGGTCCGGTTGCTCAAAACTCAGTTATATTTAACGATCCGTTAAACTCTAACGGATCGTTATTTTGTTAACGTGTCGTTTGTTAAAGGCTCGTTTATTTTCTTTTGCTGGAAAGTCAATTTCATTTTCCGTCAGCTAACAGACTGATTAAAGTTAATCCAAGAGAAGACTATTTGGTCATTGGCTGAACAAGAAACTGAAGCATGTGGAACCACTGTGCAGTCTGATCACAAAACTTGATTAAAAACAAAAAGATAACTGTAGAATTTACTAGAGAAAACACTATACAAATCTATAGAATACTATAATATATATTTTCCTATAGAAAAAAATTTAGCATAAATCTGTAGGAAAAAGTATAGGATTTGTACTACAGATACTGTAGAGAAAATTTAAGGCCCCAACACCTTCATTAAATATAACGGCACTTTAACGACATGTTAAAGTTCACGGGGTTTCCAGCAACAGACTTTCTCCCGTTAAAGATAAAGATCGGTTAAATCCACGTTAACAAGTCCCCAGGACGTTACTATTGTCAAATTATTGTTGTTAATATTGCGTTTAAGCATTGTTAATCTTGCGTTTAAGCATTGTTAATCAAAGGCTATACCATTGTCGGTCTAAGTCGCTACCTTTATTAATCTATTACCAAATGCTGCGTTCCAATACGTGTCATATTTACGGTAATTGCGTGTTTCAAATCCCAACAATATTTTAGACTTGTAAACTCGATTGACGGTTATATAACTTTACCCTAAATATGAGAGTTTCTGTTATTACTCTATAATTCTTTGGCTTGCATAAATTACAAACTACCCATTTACGTTCAAATTATGTTTTATTTCAGAACCAGATGAAAATTTGCCGTTAGTGTACAGAGCAAGCACGGCGCTTTCGGGTATGATTTTATACACCCACACATAGTTATCACCCCGTCCGTCAACACCTTGTTTGTAAAGTCAAACTACAGTTTTTGGAAGAACTTTTTATTTGGTGTGACTATGGATACTAATCGTACCGCGATGTTTCGGTTTGGATTTATCCCGCCCCCCCCCCACACTTTTGTTGAAAGTCTTGTGAACGAGATGGAGGCTTTAGTTTGTAATAGATTTCATTCAAATTTTGTGGGTTATGAGAGAATTCAGCATTTTTACTGTTCTGGAGTTATTCCTCCTTTGTTAAAAACCTTGTTGTGAAGCATTGGGTCATAAGTGGATTAACCCTATCGGTATTGAGAGTTCTGTGACTTTACCTCCCCCCCCCCCCTTGCCTACAACCTTGTGAACACGATGGAGGCCAAAGATTTGGTGGGAACCATTGGGGTCATGAGAGTGACCCCTCGCCGGCTTTTGAACATGATAAAGGCTAAAGTCTTTACTATTTGTGTTTCAAATTTGGTGTGAAGCATTGGGGTTATGGGAGTATTCAGCGTTCCGCGACTTTCCGTCCGAAGGTAAACCCACTCCGCTTTCCAAAAACCCTGTGAACGCGATAGAGAACAGTTTTTAACGTATTTATTAAAGCTTGTGAACACGATAGAGGACAGATTTCTTGAAGGCATAAAGGATCAGAATTGGGATAAGCTGCAGTCGGGACATAGCTGCTGTGTGGGCATATTTTTACATTTAGTGAGATATATTATTTTGTTCTATATATGATCTTAATAAGCTAATATGCCACATTGTTTAATAAATCAATGTTTTATTTTTTAAAACGAAAACATCACGAAATGAAGATGCATTCATGTTTTAATCTTCTGTTGGGATTCATATGTTGTGTTTCAGCTTGTCAGTATTATCAAACGTTTGCCGAATGTTCAAGTGGTACATGTACACTATCAGATCGTATCAAGTCAAATTTTATTTCTGTATCAATGACGAAACCTAGAGCAGACTGTGCTTTGAATTATTCTGCAGCTAATGGAACTGTGGGGACCTGTCCTGACTACGATGGATTACTAAGTCTTTCATCTTGTGATGGTTAGTTCAATTTCTTTTTAAAAAAATGAAAATGTGGTTGTTTTTTCTTGCACATAGCTTTTCAAGACAACGATTCAAAACGTCACACTAACATTGTCATTGCTTCTTTTTTAGTTCCTGCTTTTGAATCCAATTAGTGTGGCAACATTAAAGCCGATGATTTCATTTGGCCGATTTTTAACCTCATATAAACTACAATATTTTGCAAGATATACTATCTCTGAAATGAATATTAGCCATATATGATGGGCCTTTTTTTAAAAAATAGGTTTGAAATTTTAGTTTTTTTATATCTTAATTATATCTTAAATAATCAATCGTGTTGTCTGGAAAATGCAATTGGCGATCAAATCGAGGACACCACATTTTATTATAGGTGTGTGCATTGGAAAAATTAAGATAACCTTATGTGCCAAAATTTGGAAATGGATCAAAAATTCTTCTACATGGCATTACACACATAAACCAAAGAACTAAAATTATGTGTCTCAAAATATTTGTGTTGAAGAGACAATAAAC